TGAATTACCCAGGAGATCTGATTAAGTGCAATCAGATTCTGTCAATGACTGATGGACTGCTTTTGCCAGTCTTTACCAGTGAGGCTGATTTCAGCCTCCAACAAATTCAACTCCTGGGAACCCCCAGTCAGCCCATGAATATAAATTGATTCTATCCCTTGGTGACTTGAAGGCATTAGAGTGCACTGTGCACTAGTGTCCACCAGGGCCTTATATTTCTGTGGTTCTGATGTGCCATGCCATCTAATCCACACAGTCCAATAGACTCTATTATCTCTTTCCCCCACCCTGGCTGGGGGAAGGCCCCTCTATTGGTTACCTCTGTCATTCTTAAGGCTTTTGCCATGTCCCAAAGCAACTGGAGCAATCACCTTTATGGAGAAGTTCACCATGGTGCTTGATCTGTCTTGTAATGCTTTTATCCATGCTTGAAGTGAGGAGTGGGTTTTTTATGCCACTTCTTCATATCTTCTCCATGGTCACATAGGTAGTGCCACAAGGTCATAGCCTTACTGTTGTCACTTGCTCAAGCAGGACAACGTCTTCTTTTAATAGCTGAGATGCTGGATGATGCAGACTGGGAGGAAAACAGCCCCTCCCTGTCTTGGGAATCCTGGTCCCTATCAGCTGTATCTGATACTGCCATGGATTCATCGGTTCCATCAGCATAAAGCACGGTAGATAGTCTGTCTATTATGTCTTCTTGATTGCTCTCCATTTTGTCCAGTTTTTCAGTCACTTTTGCAATAGCTGAAACACAAGCTTGTAGAGGAGTTAAATGTAACTCAAACTCTTGAAGTTTATTTATCAGTTCATTTATAAAGGGTATTCTTTCCCCTCTGCCATACATTGCTGCCAATGTGCTGGCATACCTTTCTGGTGCAGTCTTTGTGAATATATTTGGTGTACACATATTTGGTGTACACCTTACTCTCTCAGGATCATGCTCTTAGTCTTGATCATCAAGAACGACTGCGCGGTCATGTAACATCTCCACCACAGTGTACTCTCTCAAATAATGGATGCCTTTTTCTGTGTCAGTCCATTTCTTTCTAACAGGCCTAAGATCATCTTTGAAGGGATACTTTTCTTTTATGGTTAACAGCATCTACTTCCAGAGAGTGAAGGCCTCATCCTGCCATGTACTAATACCTCTGTCAATGGCTGTGTCCCTGGCAATGCCACCCAGTTGGCGAGCCTCTCTATCTAGCATCATACTGTTGCCCCCATTGTCCCAACATCAAAGTAATCAGGTGACAATAGGCTCATTTGGATGGTGTGAAAAGTCTTTTCTCAGACCTCAAATTTCATTCATTTTCAGAGTTTGAGTGGTAATGGTAACGATATCTTGCCCACCTCCTACTCTTTCAGGACTTGCTGTTAGCCTCCTAGGCCTTGGTGACTGTGATCTTACTGGGGGTCTCAGCTCTCTCTCTGGATCCCTTGGAGCTCAGAGCCACTCCTCTGGACCTCTTCCCTCCTCTTCTCTTACAGTATCTGCCTCTTCTACTTTCTCCTCCTCCTCTTCCTTCTGTTTTACTTGAGTCAACTTTCATTTTACTTTCCATCCTCTTACAGGTGCAACTGACATCAATTCTGGTGTCTCCTGTGGTTGATCAGGTTTGACAGTTTTGATGCTCCCACTCTCCAGCTCAGCTTGGAGTCTGTCTCTTTCAATTATGAGGGTATTTAGTTCAGATTCAAGCATGACTCAAAGAGCCTGAATGTTGTTTAGTTCAATTTGGAGACAGAACTTTGTGAACTGGAAGGTGTCTTGCTCAGCTTGGAGCACATCCCGTTCAGACTTGAGGATGTCCCTCTTGGAACTGGAGGCTGTCTCACTCAGACTGAAGGGTGTCTTGTTGAGATGGAAGGCTGTCAAGTTTAGAACGAAAGGAGTCTCTCTCAGATTGGAGGGCGTCTCTATTGGATTGGAAGGCTTCCCATTCACACTGGAGGGTGTCCTGTTGAGATTGGAGACTGTTGAGTTTGGATTGCAGGGAGTCTCTCTCGGTTCAGAGGGTATCTCTCTCAGACTGGAGGGAGTCCTGCTCAGATTGGAGGGCGTCTCTCTCGGACCAGAAGGTGTCTCACTCAGATTGGAGGTCTTTCTCTTGATAGGAGACAATCTTTCCAGACCTGGAGATTCTCCCTATCAGCTCAGAGAGACTCTCCCTTTTGGTTTGGAGACTCTCAATTTCAGAAACCATCTCCTTCTCTGGGATAGTATTAAATAAGGCTCAATAAGCATTAGCCAGGCCCCGAATCATTTGTGCCTCCTCAGATCTGCCTGAGCCACAACATTCCTGTCTCAAATATCCGTTTAAGCCCTCTGGATCTTGCAGGTGTTCAGGAGTAAAGTTCCATGACACTAAAGATGTCTATCTCTCTAAATTCTCTCCCAAGACCCTCCACACTCCCTGCCCCTTAGTATTTGGGGAAGGCTTCTTCAAAATATGATAAATTCAAATACTCAGTGAAATAATTAAAATAATGAACAGTACACTCAGAGAGATTAATGTGAACAATGATGAGCATTCAAAAACTGCATAAAAGATTCAAGGGAGAGACTGGGAGCCTGCTTAAATCTGTTTTTGCCTGCATTCTCTACCAAGCACGTCAACAGTTTATGGGTCGATTTGGCCTGGATCTGTGACTAGTGAGGCGGAGGGACCTGTGGGTCTGCACCTCTGAAAATGGGAAAATAAAGGGAAAGAGAGATGGGCCCCAAAAATAACAGTGGCAATGATCTGAGGAGAAACAAACTAATTTGCTAAATAAGAATGTAAGATAACACACTATAATACAATATAATACAATATAACTAGAATTGCAGCTAATAAAACAAATATAATGAGAGAGTGTCCAAAAATTGAAGGCCTTACACTAATGCTGAGGCGAGACATGCAGTTGGCTTGAGCAGCAGGGAGGAGAACCTGGTCTCATGACCTTGCCAGGGGCTTTATCTCCTCTCTGAACACAAAGTCCCCTGGGGTATGTAGTTCTTCTTCTCTTCCAGACAGCTACCTGGAACTGGAGCACTAACTCTTTAACTCCCACTGCACTACATGATGTTATGGCGTGGAATACCGATAGCCCAAAATCATAAACCCATGACAGATTCTAAGCTTTACAATGTTGGGAACAGCATTTCTAACGTAAATGTGTTTCTCGTCGTGAAATGTCAGTAATGATCTCACATTACTTCACCCTGAACTTGGTCTGCCTTTGATCAAACACTATGATAGATCTGCAAGGTAATGGCATCTTCCATGATCTTCCTGATTAAGAATGACATTTGTCCTACACAAAGTGCCAAAAGTGCAAAAAAAAAAAAGCCTAAAAGGTCCCAGTCTGAGGAAGAACCCTTTACAGTAGGAAGAACTGCAGCACAGCCAGTTCTTCTAGCACAATCAATATAGGCTCTCTCACAAGCCTACCGATGCAGTTTTAAAAGGACCAGTTAAATGCCGGTGGAGAGCCAGCCCTTTTAATTATTGATTTACCTACACATGTTTGGCAAAAGGTTTGCCCTAGAGAGTCTGATGTGACAGGCAGTAGAAGTCCGTAGTTAAACTATGAAATAGGCAAGTCAACCAGACCAAATTCCTAAAAAGACTGGAGTCTTCTGTTCATTAGAATATTTTGGGGAATGTACAAGAAGGTAAAAACAGGCACTATTTTGAAAGAACAGAGATTTATAGTGGCTCATAAGCCAAACAAACTATGCACTCTTTAAGACTTCAGATGACTATGAAGTCTTAAAAATATATATATAAAATAATCTGCTGTGCCAACAGCATCAGGAAACAAAACTGCTGATCAGGCTACATCCAGTATGTAAGCAGTATGCAAGGGCGGGCTCCCAGTACAGTGGGAGCTGCAGCTTGGTTAGCCACTCTCTGAAAGATCCACGGGCCTTCATGGATACACGGCTCATGTTCATTCCAGCTGACACTGCTAATTACTTTAAGATTAGAAAGCAGGCTACACAGGCTGCGTTATGACCGTTGGAAAAGCAAATCAATCTGCCAGATTCAAACTGGCATAGAAAAAATTCATCTAGATTTGTTTTTGCCAAAATTGCGTTCTTGCCTTCATTGTCACAGCTTTATTGAGCCTCTTCCTGGAAACCAGAAGGGGGAAGGGTCACACCAGAAAAAAAAAAAAAAGGCAGAAAGACACTTCTGTAGCTAATCATCAAGACATGCAGGGAGTCAGAGGAATATTTTAAGACGGCAAGAAGAATGGGAGTCATTCTGTATCACAATGCATGGAAAGATTAGGACAGAAATGGAGAGATGAAATGAAAGAAGAAACATTTTGAGAGGGCTTTGATTGCTTTTCAAATATATACCTAAAAATTTGAGGAATTTGGAGCGGGGCTGGTCTCTTCTCTCTGTGACAGGATGAGGGGAAATGGCCTCAAGTTGCACCAGGGTAAGTTTAGGTTGGATATCAGGAAAAACTTTTTTACAGAAAGGGCTGTAAAGCGCTGGAATAGGCTCCCCAGGGAGTTGGTTGAGTCACCATCCCTGGATGTGTTTAAAAATCATGTGGATGTGGTGCTCAGGGACATGATCTAGCAGAGCATTGTTAGAGTCAGGGTAGTACGGCTAGGTTGTGGTTGAACTTGATCTTTAAGGTCTTTTCTAACCTGAACAATTCTAAGATTTTATGAATTCAAATACTGTTGTAAAAAGTCATTATTTCTTATAACAGTGAGTGGATTTCTGTCTGAAAACATTGGAAGGACATAACTGCTTGTCCTATATTGTAGTTTCCTGTTCTCCTGTTTATTCCAGTGAATGTAAAAGCTTCATGTTGAACCTAAATCCTCCATCCTCTGGTGGAGAACTTAAGTTTCAGCTGTATTACATGATTCCAGGTGGAAATAAAATGAAACAAAACAAAACAAAACAAACAAAAAACAGCAAAACCAACTTTCAAGGAAAAGATACAAAAGTATAATTATAGTTCTTCTGAATTATATACAGTACCTGTAGTAGGGTCCACTGTGAAAAGAGAAGAAAATTCTCCTGGGACCAGCTCATATGTGACAGCTCCATATATGCCTGAATCTCTGTCTCTGGCAACAACACTGATGATCTCTGTTCCTGGTTCTGTGTGACTGCTGATGCTTGTCACATAGATGGTTTGTTCAAAAACAGGTTTGTTATCATTAATATCTTCTATCTCAATGCGAACAAAAGCTTGGGCACTCAGCCCTCCCTGTTAGACAAATCAGAAAAATATTTCAATATCATAAATGTACACAATAGAATGACACATCTAGCTTCAGCACATCATTAAAGAACACACTGCAACACTACTGAGCAATGAAAATGTCTATTAAAAACAGCAAAAGGCATGTATAGCCCAAAATCCTGACAGTAGGCCAGCTACATGCTCAGGACAGCTCCAGCATGCTCACTAACAATACATTCAAAAGTTCAACTTCTCACAAGTGCAAACTCTGCTGGTGATTTCATATGGAAATCATCTTATACATCATCTATTTCTTCAGAGATAAAAGTCAGGGTTTAATAGCTTTTTTCTATATATGAATCTTTCAGATTTAAAAGCATGACCACTGCAACAATGCATGCAAGACTTTTTCAGTGTTGATTAGAAAAACGTGTTGGGAGCAGACCAATGCAGGACAGCCAAAGTCCTAATGCCACACTCCCGCCTGAAGAATTATGTACTATAAAGGACTGCACACGCATGCACCTGGCACACACTATATACACTACAGCGATGCACAGATGGAGGAAGGATCCTGCATGCTACAAAGTCAGGCTGGGAGCATGGTGCTTGCATCTATTATGGCACTACCAAAACCACTGACACAGATGGCGTGCTGGCAAGTACAAATGACAAGCTATGCTGAGCAAGTTTAAACTTCATTTTGCTGTCACTGTAGCACTGATATTTAAAAATAACCACATTGCATGTCTCCACAGCCTAATCCTATGTGTTAGATACTGTATGGGAACTGTTGAATCATGGCCTAAACCTCTGATTGATCACCTGAGGTGAGCACTGAGTCAGCCACAGGAGCACAGGTGAAGGCAATTCAGTTGTGTGACCAGAAGGGGTGGAGCCTGGCTGCACCTCTCCTGGACCCCATTTAAGGGCTGACTGCTACTGGTGAAGGATTTGTCTCTGGAGGTTGTTCCTCTTAGAGTTTTACCTCTGAGCCTAAGGCACAGGTAAGCTTTTCCATTCATTTCTGATTATGCCTTTCCAATGTGATAATCTTTACAGCTATATGCTTTCTGAAGACCAGCCTAACTTCTCTGTGTACTTGTTGATTTAGCATCTGTATACTTGTTGATTATACAGATACTTTTGCACCTAATCATCACAGAAACAGTCCAGTAATTCTGACTGGATATTACCTTATGCTTGCACTATGTGCCAAACTTTTTGGGAATTTGCTTTTTATCTCCCCAGGATCAGACTTTAAACCTGAGGGGAAATACTATTATCATTTCTCCTAGATTCTTGTTTTCACTGTAGAGCAAGTGTGTTTCTCCAGTACTGTGACTTCCATGGGAAGGAAACCCCTGCACAAAAAGGAAGCCTACATGCTCTGTTGAAAGCCCATTACCAGACAACTCACTGGGGCTGTGGCTCCACAGCTTTCAGGTATTTAATGACAGGAATCACAAACCTTTCTAAAGGAAACAGGCCAAGGAAGAAGTGAGGTCAAGAATAAAAAGCAGCTAGAAAGATGCAAAGGTTAGAACTGCAGTAAATCAAACTGCTGCACCTTCTGAGTTATGCTACTTCTTCCGAGTTTCAATATTACTAAACAGAATAAAAAACCTCTTACTGTTTGGGTGTGCTGCTTACCTATTTGTCCCTTGGTACATTAAAGCTCCTATTGCTCACAACAGACCTTGAAGACATTATATGCAATTACATACTAAATATGTGGTGTAGAAGGAAAACCCTGGCACAGTGCTGCAGTCAGCACTGTAAGCTTTACAACTTTAAGAAAGTTTTAAGTGCAGGTTGGCTGGGAGCAGGGACAGGCAGCACAGATCAGGGGACTGCAACCCTTACTACAGGAGTAGTCTTACTGTCTGCCACAACCAGAAAGACCCAGAAGGTCTTTCACAGAGGAGTACCAAAGACATACGTGAAGTAACTGGCTTTGGGACCAAAACAAGCTCTGCTGAAAAAGCTAGCACTAGCACTGTGACTCTCCTTGTCCCCATAAAAGTCAGGCAAAGCTCCCACAAGCTCTCACAGGATGTTTATTTAACACCAGTTAAACAGAATCTGTTTTGCACCTGCCTCTTGAGAGGCTCCCGTGTGCAGTTTCAGTTCTCCCATCACCGCTTGTAAATAGCACATAAAAGAGATGACTGACAAGCTCCAAAAGCATGTAATAGAGTAGGCACAAACAGGTAGAAGAAACTGATAGCTATACTGTAAGGTAAGCTGCGCACCACCTGGAAAATAAAGTATTTTCCTCATTTCTACTTAACTTTTATTTTCTTTTCCCTTCATCTCTCCCTCCTCTTTGTCAACACTGATGCTTCACACTTCTCTGACTTGGCTGTATGCACTTCTCCCCCAGTCAGTGCTTTGAACTGCATGCCTAACAAGTTTAATCCATCAGCAGCAGAATGCCAGGAAACAAAATGTGCCACTGTAGCTCTGCTGCAGAGGTGGTGGTGGCTCAGCACACGCTCAGGTAACACTGGATGTTTTGAAAAGCAAGTACTGATTTTAGGTGATTTGAACTGGCTGTGTCAGATGACCCAAATTTTAGGAGTGCAATCAGTGGTAGCTAGAAAGTGGTGGGTTCCCTTAAAAATATCACATCCCACCTGCCAAAGGCAATCTGAAATTGTACCCCTCCCCCAGTACTGAAATTCTGAAAAATTCAAGGTCCCTAAATGAATATAAATTACAGATCAATCTTAAAAAATGTAATAATCTTACAGTTTCAGCACATTGCCTGCTTTTCTATAACCAGTGCAACAATTAAGAAAAAAAAAAAGGCATCGTTTTCATGTAAACCTATTTTCTTTCTACATGTTCAGAATAACCTTCTGAGTCAGACCAAAAACACACATGAGAAAGCTGTCAGACTTTCAGTGCTCCTGTTCAGCTGTCCCATAGACCTGATGTATAAGACTAATTTTGATATACTATTTGTATATGTTTACTGTTCAGATGCAAAATGTGTGAAGCCTTGCACAAAATCAGCATTGGAGACATGAGACAAAAATGAAGTGGTAAGATACAGCAAATTATATAAAATTCTGATGTCATACATTGTATTATTGACTGCTTTATTCTTCAAGGTTTGGAAGTTTATACTCATATGTACACTATCAAATATCACCTAGAAAGGAATTCAAGACAGAAATCACATTTCAGAGAAATTCCAAAATGGGCATATAAACTTCTGCTGGGAAAAAAATTCTCTATTTTCAACCTATTTCTTAGTCTGAAGAAATGGCATGTTCTTCATAATGCTTTTTGTTACCATGAATACTTTTCTGACAAGTTCTCTGACTGCCACTGTTTACCTTTGTTTTGGTTCACACTGTCTGTGGCCTGGAAGGCCACAAAACAGACTGGAACTAAATGACAGGTGTGCTTAATGCAGCTAATGTGCTCCAGCTGTGAAGGGCCATCAGTTTAACAGAGCTGGACTAGAGGTAGCTTTCAGTAAAAAATGGACCAATTTCTTAATCTCCATTGCTCAGCAGTCCATTTCTCACCAGGAAGATCATTGGCGTGCACTTTTGCCATGAAGCTCTTGCACAAGTTGCTGGCTTATCACTGCTGAACTCATCTTGAATGCAAAATAACAGAGGTAACCTGCAGTCCACCAGCCTCAAAAGGAGAATCATCAGGAACTAAAACATCTTAGAAATGATTTACAGTAACTCATGTGGGAGTTACTGTAAAATCTACAGTGAATTTTATCAGTTTGGGTCAAATTTACATTTTGTGAAGTATCATTCTGTCCTCTGTAGGGGTAAGATAATGTATTTAAAACCATACTATTTTCATTTACACCCTTCCCCTACAATAGTGTACAGCACATCCAAATTTGCAAATGTAGTCACAAACCTGGCAGGACAGAAGGGCAGAACTTACCCCATCTGTAGCTTTTACTAATAGATCATAAGTAGTTTGATCTCCTTCTCTGTCAATGTCTTGAGAGACACAGATTTGACCAGTACGTGGATCAATTTGGAAAGCTCTGGATTTTTCATAATAATGGAATCCATCATAAAGAAAATACTCAACTTCGCCAAACTTGTCAGCATCTGCATCTGTTGCCTTGACCTGCAGGGAAACAATGGGAACAATGAAGGCAGTGAAACTACTACTCAATCCCTAAAAATCAGATACTTTACTTTAAATATGCCCCTTGTATTATGAAAGCAAATGAAGAAAATATGGATTCAGTCAGTGAATACAAGGACATCTTGAGCTGTGTGCATTTTACAAGACTTGGATACTGAGTGTCTTGCAACAAGCACAGAATGATTGCAATCTGTCTGTAACATATTCTTGTTAATTTATTGGTAATTATCTCAATCACATGGACACTGTGCAACTGGAAAAGCTATGCACGTTAAGCCACATCAATAGGCTATAACTTCAGCCTCTTTCCCCTTCATGTTTTTACCAGCCCAAGAAAATTACATTGCAGCACATCAGGGAAGTGGGATGCAGGACATCCTTACTGAATATATTTTTCTGGAAGATCCCCCGCATCCTGATTCATGTTAAAATAGCCTGTATTTATAGTGCATTAATTTGCCCCACTTGAAAACATACTTGGAGGATTTCTCCTCATTTGTTTTCTACTACTCCTTAGAAGAAAAATCCTATTTTCCCCTTGCCTATATCTGTACAAGTGCAAGCCCTGAAGATCTTAACAGGGCTTTAGAGATCTTATTATTACCGGGCCTGAGTGAAACTTGTGCAAGTTCACTAAGAAGTGCAAGAGTGCCTGCCTACCTCAATCCATTGAGCACCTGGCATGGCTTTAAACGTACCTCTGACAGAAGCCAAGAAAGACATGCCAGCAACTATTCCTAGCAATAGGTTTGTTGGGTTGTTTTTTTGGTGTTTTTTCTTTGAAAAGGGGTGAAATTAATGTTAAAAGAAAAAAAAAAAAAAAAAAGAAAAGAAATAGAAGCCTAAGCATGCCCTCGGTGCTCAGCCACTCTGATGCTATGGAACAGTAATTTACTTGGCTCTTAGGAAAAAATTAGTACAATTTATTTATTGTGCCTAAAATCTAATGCCAGTACTGAAAGGTTCTGCAACTGAGTGTGGGTGAGTAACTACACGTGTGAAGTCAAAGGGCATTGTTGGAAGTGTAGCCCATGACAAGTTCAGCAACTTGTTTTCCTTCTGTTAAACTTTGCAGTCCTTAGATTTTAGCAGTACATGCAAAAGAATAAGGAGTGATGAATTTAAATCAAAATGCGTCAGCACAAAGCATTGCAGATTTGAAGTCTAATTGTGGTCAGCTTCAGTAACATTAATCATGTACGACTCAGACATCAGAACTAAGTGGCATCAATTTCCGCATTTATAAAAATACAATCTTACTCCCTATCCAAATCCTTAGAATCCATTCAAATTCCACCCAGCTAATAGTATTTTTTTTTTTAAGTCACTCTGCAGATGTGCCCACAGAACCTTTGATCTGAAGAGAAGCAAATCTGGAATTAGAAATGAAAGAATTTACAGTAACAGAAGTAGAGGTAGACAGGCACTGAAACACCTGTGGTCTGGGGAGCAGTTAGCTGTTATCAGTGCAGCATCATTTCGAAGGAATCCAGTAAAAAAATTCAAGCAGGTTTAAGTTTTCCAACGCAGCTGAAGAATCCAGACATTTTAGGAATGGAAGCACGCGGTGGTCATGAGGCAGGGTGTACCAGCTGCTCCAGGCAGTAACTAGCTGCACCACTACCATTCCTACAGGGCGTTACAGCAGCAAAGTGTTCAGGAGCTGTGAGTTACAGCAGTCCAAGTGAGAGGAAATTAAGACAGTGGCAAGAATTTTCACAGTGCATTGATCAGCAGCTTTCCGTTGGCAATAGCACAGAGGTGACAGAGCTGAAGGGATTTATGGGCCTTGAAGATGGGGGAGGCAACCAGCACGGAGCTGTAACTTCAGATCCCTGACAGTCAGGCTGAGTATGATAGTGGGAGTTGGGAGAAAAGGAAGCAGGGGAGGATGAAGCTTGGGGGCCTTTCGTATTTCCTAGCTAAATACATTTTCAGTGTGCTAAATTGAAGATGCGTGTAATTAAGGAGTGTAGATTGGGAATATGGAAATACAGGACAAAGCATTTCCCACAGAACATTTGTAAAAGCCAACCACAGTCACGGTATGGATAGCTGCTGGCTGCTCTTCTCCAGTCAGTCATGCTTTCTGTAACCTACATACTTCACTCCAATTGCGGACTGTTTAGTCTGCAAACTTGTCAAAGGGGAAGAAAAGTTTCTTTTGCCACTGCCAACGGGGAAAAAGTTCCTTTTGCAACTACCAATAAAGAAATAAATGGTTAGAAGGCAGACATCCTCTGAAGAGGAGGGAAGGGGAGACCTAGAGAAATGTTGCAGCGAACAATAAAAAAGCTGATCAGTCGATGTGATGCTCAGACAGACCAGCACATGGGTGCAATAAATGGTGGGAACCAGTAGATGATATAGCATGTAAGATAAAGAAAGAAAAATCATCTGTTTCTTTATATGACCAGCTAAGAGACAGTGTTGGAAGTGCAGAAATGACTTTTTATTTGCCTATGGAAAGAAGCCCTGATCTCAGAGGAAAAAATAAAGGGAAGCACTGTGTGCTTCAATGGCATCAACCTCACTTCAATCCAAGGTGTGAAAGTCTGAATGAAGAAAAATTGCTGGCAATGTGCTCAAATAGATAGGAACAGAAACATCTTTTTTCATTATTTTGCTAAAGGAGAGATTTTACAGCTAATAGAAAGCAAATACTTAGCAGAACCTCAGCTGGTTCCCCTCCCTTCATTGTGACAATGACAACTCACCACACTAAGAAATCTGCCTCCACATTTTCAGGGCATGAAATGGTGTTGTCAATACATGAGCAACAGACAAGATTATAGAGAATTATACCTACTCCTAAAGTCCAGATTACTTTGAGCACTATTTGATTTTGAGATAAAAGTCACCATTTTAATTCTTCATCTCATTTCCACTGCTTTAACATTCTCAAACCTATACTTAACTGTTTCAACAGATTAACAAAGAAGGTTCCTGCCTTTGATTCAGATATCTTCACTTGCTTTCCTGCAGTATTATCTCCTGTTTAATATCAACTGAACATATTTTGAAAAGCAGAGCAGATATTTTAAGTTATGTGCAAAATGGGAGAAATGACTTCTGTATGCCAAACTACACCACAGAATGCAATCTGATTAACTGCGCAGACCAAAAATTCAGGGCACACACTTTGCATCCCATGCCAAGAGAATTTCTAGGATTTAGTGTGCAGCCTTAATGCTGTCTGTTTTTCAGTGCTGAATTTTACACAAGTGAATTTTATGGCTTTCAGATCAACAGAATAAAAGTAGACTACAAAGGGAAAGAGCAAGCACTTGGGCCAAATCAATCATAACAGTGGTCACCTCTGATAACAATTAAATGAGACTAAAAAATATGAAAACAGTTTCTCATGATTTAAGAATTGCTCTCATGCTACATATTTTGTCACATTTCCTCAATCCAACTCCAGCAAGTCAATACACAGCTTCCACAGCTCATAAAATGTGTCTGGTTTGGGCTCTCAACATCAGTGCTTAAGACAAGTTTTTATTTTGCATATAGAAAGTGTGTAAATGATTTTGTGAAAAGCAAATTAGTTGCTGGTAATCAGTTTTAAAGAAAATCATAATGTATAGAAAAACATACTTCAGTACTCCAGAATACTCATCCAAATGTAAGATGGATACAGACACAGGGAAACTAGCAGGAATGTGAAAGGAAGTAATTCAACAATACAGCTATGCTGCTGGTGAGTAGTATTAAGAACAGTGCTGTTCTACAGATATCCAGGGGTCACCAACCAGAATTCCTATATTCTTTCAATGAAAGGACAACAGATGCGTTCACTGTGATGGAGCAGTGTCCACTGTCTGCCCCTTGCCCAGCTAATACTGCAGTACAACCCAGAAACCACCAGGATGACACACCACCAGTATTTTGTAAGCATCCACCACACTACAATTCCAAAGTGTGCTTTCAGTGAAATGAGGCTGTAGAAATAAAGGTTATTTACTAATAATTGTTCTTCTTTAGTAGTCCGTCAGATATAATCATACCTGTAGGATTAGCACATGAGCTGCCAGAAAAATCCTTCTGGAGGTCTGTAATCTTCCACCACAAACAGCATTCAGCACCTCTGGCCAGTTGGCTAATTGGATGTCTTTAATGCAGTGCTCTTACTTACAGGCCAATCTGGCCCGTAATTAGCAATCCTTACCTCTTAGCTACCTGAGGCAGTGGGGGTGCTAATGCCAACATTAAGCCCAAGAAGAGTTTTAACAAATACTTACATTTTTTTATAATCTGTTTCCCACCCTCTCCCCACCCTCCCCCCAGAATGGCAGGCTTAACATACAGATACAGGAATAAAACATCCTGTCTACTTGCTTAAGTTCTAAAGGCATAAGGCGTGAACCTTGACTTTAAGAAGAGGAACTGTCAGCCTGTCCTCAAACAACAACTTGTAGTGTGATCAGTTGTCAATACGTGGCTTCACAGCAGGCAGCAGTGCTGCTCATGCCTACTCACTACATGTTAGAGTGGTGGTTAGAAAATGTATTTTGGGATTATGAAGCATAGGGTCCAGCACCAAGGCCATCTGCTAAGAGGTCAAGCATCTACTTGGTCTGTCTGTTTGGTCTAGACAACCCTCCTCACTGTGCAAACACAGCCTGTATTTCTATCATCTATTTACATTGCCATATACGCTAGAAGAACAGAAGTGAAAAGACAGCATATTTCTGATGAAAGAAAACTAGTTGTCACTGCAAGTAGCAAATTTTACCTGGACTAAAACCTTATTTAATTGAAGAAGACTCCTACTTTTCAGTTAAAAAAGCAACTCAGCCCATTCATACTCAGATGCCATGATGCAGTTTTAGATTTTATAGCCTGCTAAACTATGCACAGTTCAGAGCATAAGTATAAATCCATTTTTTCATTAACTTTAGCAAGTTTAGAGCTCCAAGTTTAAGAACCACTGCCAAGCAACAGCAGAGCACAAGTTTCCCTCCTCGGTGCTAATT